GCTCCTATGTTGGGTGCATAAATATTTACAATTGTTATATCTTCTTCTTGGATCGATCCCTTAATCATTATGTAGTGTCCTTCTTTGTCTCTTCTGATAGTCCTTATTTTAAAGTCTATTTTGTCTGATATGAGAATTGCTACTCCAGCTTTCTTTTGGTTTCCATTTGCATGGAATATCTTTTTCCATCCCCTTACTTTCAGTCTGTATGTGTCTCTAGGTCTGAAGTGGGTCTCTTGTAGACAGCATATATATGGGTCTTGTTTTTGTATCCATTCAGCCAATCTGTGTCTTTTGGTGGGAGCATTTAGTCCATTTACATTTAAGGTAATTATCGATATGTATGTTCCTATTCCCATTTTCTAAATTGTTTTGGGTTCGTTATTATAGGACTTTTCCTTCTCTTGTGTTTTTGTCTAGAGAAGTTCCTTTAGCATTTGTTGTAGAGCTGGTTTGGTGGTGCTGAACTCTCTCAGCTTTTGCTTGTCTGTAAAGGTTTTAATTTCTCCATCAAATCTGAATGAGATCCTTGCTGGGTAGAGTAATCTTGGTTGCAGGTTTTTCTCCTTCATCACTTTCAGTATGTCCTGCCACTCCCTTCTGGCTTGTAGAGTTTCTGCTGAGAGATCAGCTGTTAACCTTATGGGGATTCGCGATCCTTTTTTTAAAGCCAAAACTCCAATGGATTTTTCCCTTTAATTTATTACGTCGATCATTAAGGGAGCTGTGCAGCTTTGGATGTGTTTATTGACTATTTGTAGGTTCTTGTTTTGTGAGTTGCTGATTTATGACCTCTGCCTGCTGTTCTACTTGGTTGCTGGGTATAATTCTTACATATTTTTAAGAGCTCATTATCTGTTTAGGTTATTAACCTTTTGTCAAATACCTTTCAATCTATTTTCCCTGTTTTTTTTTTTTTGCTTGTCTTTTAGTTTATGATAGCTTTTGTCATATAAAATTTTTTTTAATAGATTCATCAAGATGATGATAACTTTAGGAATTAAAAAATGATCACACACCTAACTGACAGTCCCTGGTGCTTCATGGTGTATTTTTATTTCCCTTGTTGTAATTTTAGGATACTTGCATCAACACAGTTTGAACCGACTGCAGCCAGAATGGCCTTTCCCTGCTTTGATGAACCTGCTTTCAAAGCAAGTTTTTCAATCAAGATCAGAAGGGAACCAAGACACCTCGCCATCTCCAACATGCCACTGGTGAGTCTAAACTCCTGTGTATCTACTCACAAGAAAAGTCCATTGATTCACTGTGATTTGTATTACCTCACTGACAGTTAGCATTCAGGTTGCCTGTTCTGTTTGTTTTATTGCCTACAGATAGCTAACTTTTCTATTTCATTTCCAACCTATGCTTTTGGTTCAAGTAACAATTTATTTATAGTCAAAGAAAAAAACTGTCCCTAAAAACATGCAAAATTTAGGTAAGAGTGACATTGCAGGTGCAGTGTTGATGGGAGGGAAACTTTATAGACAATTCAGGTTAGGTTAACTGAGAGTGCCCTTCACAAAGCACTTTCACTTTTATTGTCTCATATGCTCTTTTAAAAGGATTTTAAAGGGAATGCTTTGTTGAATAAGGCCATGTTTCTATGATATAGTTATTTTCTATAATTTCTATATACTATATTACTAATATTAGCTATGCATTTTGTAACTATGGCACAGAGTTGGTCAGATGGAAAAAAAAAAAGTAATCTTTTAATAATATTATGGTAGTAAAGGTAAGTAATGATAGCTAGCTCAGTTCCCAGTTTCAAAGCAGATGTGGACAGTTTTCCCTCTGATTCTTATTTCTTTATTTTTTTCAATTTTCCATTATGGTTTATTACAGGATATTGAGTATAGTTTCCTGTGCTATACAATAGGACCTTGCTGTTTATCTATTCTATATATAATAGTTTGCATCTGCTAGTCCAAAACCCCTCTGATTTCTAAAAGTAGTGAGGAGAAGATGACCTCGCCAAATGAATAAAATTACTTAGTAAGTGCCGTTATCCTATGATTCTGGTAGCACTGGGAAAACATAAGCTGAGCTGTCATTCTACACCCGATGCATACCAACTCCAGAAGCACACACACCCTTTGTTCAGAGAAGCTCAAGGTGGATGAGACTCAGGGTGGAATAGGCTTTGCCCAGAGTCCAGAAAGGGTATCACGCTTCATCCCTTTGCTGACTGGGGAGACATTAGCTTCACATGAAGGGACTCATAGAGCCACAAGCCAACCTCTAGTACCGTATTTCTCAACCCTGGGAACTCTATTTGCTTGCTGAATCCCTTAAGGATCCCTTAAAAGGGATTCTGCCTTTCCCTCCTAGAAGGCTGTATAAAAAGCAGACTTTTGTGAATCCTTACCAGCCAAGAACTTTTGTCTCTCTCCCCACCGCATTTGTATATAGAAAGATAAGAAACAGTTATGCTATTTTCCTAATATAAACTTGAGATAGAGAAAATCCTTTTTCAAATTATAGTTCCCTCCCCAAATATTATGGTATTGCTCCCTGGGATAGGAGTGAGTTCTCTAATTAGAGAATTACAGCTTAAGGAGAAAAAAGGAACAGGGGTGGTTTGGAAGTGAGGGACAGACTGACCCACTAAACAAGATTGGTGGAGATTTTGTAGGCGTGCAGGGGGAAGGCAAAGGCTGCAAGGCTCCTCAAAGACGCTGGAGTCTAAATCTATGGACGTCCGGGACCCACTTGTTGAGGATCAGAAAATCTAATGTAATCTTGCTCTTGAACAAGAAAGCTCTTCCCTTGGCAGAAATTTAACAGGGTGGCCTGAACTCAAGATGTAGACTTGGGGTTGAGGGGAAGGACGGTGGGGTCTCAAAGGATCTTTTTGGAGGCTAGAAAAGCAGATACACCTTTGGAACACTGAAGTGTTTGGGGCAGGAGTTAATCACATCTAAATTTCTATTCTTGACATTGTGCTAATAATTAAAACAATGTCAAGAATAGAAATTATTGTTAGGGGTAGGTTGAAGGCATTTTATAAAGAAAGGTAATTTCGGGTCCTTCAAGAGTAAACCTAGGTTGGCTATCAGAGTTAGGGTTTGAATGACCAAAGGGTGACTAGCAGGCACCATACCTTGTGGCCGGTGGTACTAAAAAGAAGGATGAGGTGGGGCTTCCATGGTGGCGCAGTGGTTAAGAATCCGCCTGCCAGTGCAGGGGACACGGGTTCAAGGCCTGGTCTGGGAAGATCCCACGTGCTGTGCGCCACAACTACTGAGCCTGTGCTCTAGAGCCCGTAAGCCACAACTACTGAAGCCTGCATGCCACAGTTACTGAAGCCTGCACACCTAGAGCCTGTGCTACGCAACAGGAGAAGCCACCGCAATGAGAAGCCCGAGCACTGCAACGAAGAGTGGACCCTGCTCAGTGCAACTAGAGAAAGTACGTGCACAGCAACAAGGACCCAATGCAGCCATAAATAAATAAATAGATAGATAGATAGATAGAAGGAGAAGGGGGCAGAGAAACAGAGGTAGAAATAAGGTTACAGGAAAAATGCATGTGTTAACATGGAATTTCTCAGATTAGTTCTGGCTGGTCTTCTCTCCAGGGTCCTGCCCAGTGCTTTCTGTTGGCTGAGGCATTAGACTTTCTTCTCTGGAAGCCAACATCTTAGTCTGTACCTTTATCACCCCAACCCTACTCTGCAAGGCTACTCCCTGATTGCATTGAAAAACTGATTCCAGTGAAGCAAATCAGAGTTTGGAGGAGGCTTTGCAGGGTCAGGCCCAGGCATGGGTTACTTTCAACTGTTTAGGAAAGTAGAAGCTCTTTTTAGGTTGTCCTTGGTGACCCCTATTAGACCCTGCGTTTCCAGATCATTCTCATACCTTGTATTTAAGTGAGCTACATCTTGGCAAAGCCAGCAATCTCAGTTTTGCTTTGTCTCACCCATGTTATCAATCCTCATGTGCCAAATATGAGTCAGTTTGTGATCATCTGGATTATTTAAAGGAAATTAAGTGGTGATGGTTGTATAACTGTGCATATAATAAAAACCACTGAATTGTATACTTTAAAATGGTGAACTTTATGGTGTATGAATTATATCTCGATAAAAGAAATGGAGTAGAATGGTTTGGCCTTAATGTTTAAATTATAATCAGATATCAGAAAGAGATATATATATATATATATATATATATATATATATATATATATATATATATATATATATATCCCCATATACCCTCCCTCTCTCACTGTTGTGGCCCCTCCTGCCGTGGAGCACGGGCTCCGGACGCGCAGGCCCAGCGGCCACGGCTCACGGGCCCAGCCGGTCCGCGACATGTGGGATCTTCCCGGACCAGGGTACAAACCTGTGTCCCCTGCATCGGCAGGCAGACTCTCAACCACTGCGCCACCAGGGAAGCCCCGGAAAGAGATATTTTAAAATAATTATACAAATGTCATGTCATATACTTTCAGTATGTCTGAGAGTTAGGAAATTTCTCTTTATAAAATGTTTTCAGTGTCTTGGGTAATTGTATTTGATGACTTTAGTTATTCTGATTTTAGGTTAAATCTGTGACTGTTGCTGAAGGACTCATAGAAGACCATTTTGATGTGACTGTGAAGATGAGCACCTACCTGGTGGCCTTCATTGTTTCAGATTTTAAGTCTGTCAGCAAGATGACCAAAAGTGGCATCAAGGTGAACCTGCGATTGTCACATAGGGTGACCAGCTTGTCCTGGCCTGCCTGGGACTGTCTTGGTTTTAAAACTGGAAGTCCTGCATCCTAGGAATCCCCTCAGTCTTGGGCAAACCAGTTGGTTGGTCATCCCGTTGTCTCAGATACTCATGTTTACAGTGGGGTTCTAATAGCAAAAACATGTGGTGAGGCCTGGCCTGGCCTGGGTCATGGTCCTGGCTCCACCACTAACTGACTTTCTGCTCCCTTTTGCCCTGCTCCCCTTGGAAGTTAGCTTATACTTCTTTAAAATGTGTAAGTTGGACTAGATCCTGCAATGGTTTCTAAGGTTGCTCCTGTGTATAACTTCATGCAGTTTGGAAGTGAATGTCACTGACTGCCTGAGAGGGGGTTTCTAACCGTGGAAAGGAAGTAAGATAGAGCAGTCTGCTTGGAGTATTAAATGGCTCTGGGAAGAGCATTTGGGCCAGGGAATACTGGAGTACTAGAGAAAAAGATCTTGTTTCAAAGAGCACTTGCCACTTGGGTGGGTACCATTGTGTAGTGAACAACCTACTCAACTGTACGCTGTGGCTCTGAATGCAAATAAGATTTTTGGAGAGGAGGGACGGGATACTTTATTTGAAGTTACCTCATTTATTTAAATAGGGGTACATTTCCTATCAGGTTTCCCACCTTGGGCAGGCTTGGGACTTTGTCTCCTATCCTCTGAGTTCTTTAATGCCATGAAAACCCAAACTCAAGTCCATCTGTACTAGGCCAGTGTCCTCAGGGCAAAAGCTGGCTGCAGTGCTCTGCTGACTTCTCAGGGTTCTACTGTCCCTTCATTTTTGGCAACTAAGTCGGCTTTACTTTTTCACTATCTCACGTAAACATTTAAAAAGACATGTTTGTATTTGTTATCCAGCGTTTGTTGTAGTTTTCAGAAGGGGGGGTTGATCAGGAACAGTCAGCATTAATATAAGAAATAGAACTTCCAATTGTCTTTCTTAATATTGGCAACCATATCCCACAATAGCTGTTAATGTCAGTCTTCTAGAGAAGCCACTGTGGCATTTGGATAACTTTCGTATACTTTTCTCCTCAGGTTTCCGTGTATGCTGTTCCAGACAAGATAAATCAGGCAGATTATGCACTGGATGCCGCGGTGACTCTTCTAGAATTTTATGAGGATTATTTCAGCATTCCATATCCCTTATCCAAACAAGGTATAGATTTGGCACAGATGTTACAAAGTGTGGCATTTACTGACCCCAGCAGTAGATTATATCCTCCTAATTGGCATCTCCCCCCTCAGCTCGGCAGGCTCTCAAGTCATTAAAACCTGGCAGGTTCCTGAGGCACATGTCATGGAGATAATTTTGCCTTCTGACTTTAAATTAATTTTTTTTTAATAAATTTATTTATTTATTTATTTTTGGCTGCGTTGGGTCTTCGTTGCTATGCGCAGGCTTTCTCTAGTTGCAGTGAGCGGGGGCTACTCCTCGTTGTGGTGCGCAGGCTTCTCATTATGGTGGCTTCTCGTTGCAGAGCATGGGCTCTAGGTGTGCGGGCTTCAGTAGTTGTGGCTCGCGGGCTTCAGTAGCTGTGGCTCGCGGGCTTCAGTAGCTGTGGCCCATAGGCTCTAGAGCGCAGGCTCAGTAGTTGTGGCACATGGGCTCAGTTGCTCCATGGCACATGGGATCTTCCCAGGCCAGAGCTTGAACCCGTGTCCCCTGCATTGGCAGGTGGATTCTTAACCACTGTGCCACCAGGGAAGTCCTTGCCTTCTGACTTTAAAGACAAGCACAACTATATTATTGGGCAGATAGCAAAGGACAGAGGCTGCATTTTTTTCATGATTGGCACACATTTGCTAGGAACATAGAGTACTCAATGAATTTTTCGAATGAATTCATTGATAGAGCATAAGAGAGTCTGCATTTTCTTTCTTACATGAGCCCTTAAAACTACTGTGTGTTTGAGTTTTTAGGTGTATGGGAGTCTTGGGCATCCAAGGTCGAGTGGATTATTGTGACAATTGTTAAAATTGTCTAGTCCCCAAGCACCTTGTCAGAGAATTAGAAATGGAGTCAGGAGGTCTGAAACCCAAGCCTGACTTTGTCTTGCAGCAGCAAAGTAACTCTGTATGAGTCACTGAGTCCTTTTTCTTTATTGTGCAAGGTTCTTCAGTCTAGAATAACCCATGATTCTGCGTGAGCCACGTAGTTTTTCTTTGATCCCTACACCCATCCACTCTGAAAGTTAGTGTGTTTGGGCAACATGAGAGAGATTGAGATTGGTAAGATGTTTTTGTTTCCTTCCCAAGATCTTGCTGCTATTCCTGACTTTCAGCCTGGTGCTATGGAAAACTGGGGACTGACAACATACAGGGAATCTTCTCTACTGTTTGATGCTGAAAAGTCTTCTGCATCAAGTAAGCTTGGCATCACGATGACTGTGTCCCATGAACTCGCCCACCAGGTATATAAGCTTAATCACACTTTCAAAAAAATGTTAACTATATCTATATTGCTTTTCTGGGACATAGGCTATTCATACTGTTGTATGAATTCTACCAATTCATTTTTACTATGTCTTTTTTCCCAGAAGAAAAAATTATTTCTTTAAAGCATTAGGTACCATGTTTTATACTACACATTGTGAAGTTTTTCTTTTTACTTTGAAAAAAATATTAGCTTTATAAATATGTTAACATTCATATACTGACCTTACACATATAATATATATTTCCTTCTGAATGTCTGACGTTTATGGCCACGTAGATAATCTAGTTTCCATAGAAATCTGTGAATAACGTGAGTAATGTTTTCCTTTCAGTGGTTTGGGAACCTCGTCACTATGGAATGGTGGAATGATCTTTGGCTAAATGAGGGATTTGCCAAGTTTATGGAGTTCGTGTCTGTCAGTGTGACTCATCCAGAACTGAAAGTTGTAAGTTGTATTTACTTACTTTTTTTTTTTTTTTTTTTTTTATTTTAGTTTCCATAGAAATCTGTGAATAACGTGAGTAATGTTTTCCTTTCAGTGGTTTGGGAACCTCGTCACTATGGAATGGTGGAATGATCTTTGGCTAAATGAGGGATTTGCCAAGTTTATGGAGTTCGTGTCTGTCAGTGTGACTCATCCAGAACTGAAAGTTGTAAGTTGTATTTACTTACTTTTTTTTTTTTTTTTTTTTTACATTTTAGATCAATCTGTTGTGTTGTTTAATGTTGCTGGAAAATACTTACTGATGTTAGATTATGGAATTCATAGAAAGATTGATAACTTCCCTGGGAGTTTAAATATGAGTCAGGTTTCCAAAATGCTAGTGAACTTTAAAGATACATTGCAAAGGTTTATTTCCAAACTCAATTGCTTATTTCCAAATCTATGATTGTTATGAAGTTAGTATTAAATTTTGTCCTCCCTTAATATCAAAGAAATAGAAATAATGACAACCTGTCTGTCCCATATCACTTCCCCAACCTTCAGGTTGCTCATGAAGAAGTATTAGGTACAGATTGCTGCTATTTCAATAGGGTCCTGCTTGCCAAGTGAAATGAGTTATGTTTAAGGTAATTGTACATTTGATTGTATAAGAACCTAGACTCATGGGTCACAAACTTAATGCTTTGGAACCTCTATGTGGTGACTTCAAAAATCATGTGTTTTACTTGTGAAAATCAAATGCAGTAAAATTAAAAAGAAACTTTATGTAAAAACAATCCTTTATCATATTATAATTTTCATTTGTACATATTCATATCCCATTTTCATCTTCCAATACACATAACTTATATGTAGTTATAATTATAATGTACATATAATTATTATACTACAGTGGATCATAAATATTGTCCTGTTTCCACATAGTCTTTAATAATAAAAATGATTATGTATGGATATTATTCTATTGGGTAATATGCCCTAATCAGGTTATAGTTGGGATTTGTTTTTCATTACTTTTTCTTTCACTACATGGTTTTAAAGCTAAATTTCTTTGCTTTAAAATAGTATAGATGATGATTGGAGATACTTAAATCACTATACATTTTAGTTTCTGATTTGGGCACTGTTGGACTGTAGGCATAATGTTTTTAATAGGAAATTTTCTTTATTCTAAGGTGATAAGTATTTAAACAAAAATTTCAGTGTTGATCTAAGATCAGTGTTTCTTGGCTCTTCTTTAGAAGATAGTAATTCTATTTAATTTTGTAAATTCTATAAATATGGAATAGGTTATATTAGAAATTTAGAGTGTAAACCTATTATCCCAGGTCAGACCATCCTCATTTCGTATTTTTTTCAAGTAAATGTAAATCATTGGTGATGTTGTCTTTTTTTCTGTCTCAATAGGAAGATTATTTCTTTGATAAGTGTTTTAATGCTATGGAGGTAGATGCATTAAACTCCTCACACCCTGTGTCCACACCTGTGGAGAATCCTGCTCAGATTCGGGAGATATTTGATGAAGTTTCTTATGAAAAGGTAAAAATGGATTATAAGGGTACAATTTGGACCCTACACTTAAAAATGTGGGGTGGAGAGGTTATAGATAGTGTTTTGGGGTGACTTTCCCTTCATAAGGACTATAGCCCAGATTGAATTCCTTCTCTTCTCACCCATGCTGCCCAGAGTTAACTCTTTTAGGCCTAACTTGAAGTTTAGCTTAAAATCCTAAAGATTATATTGTGATCAGTTTGTTTACTGTCTTAAGTTGAATATTCATGGCCTACAGAAGCTTTTTATTTATCCTTCAATAAATAGGTCTTGATTGAGCATCAACTTTGTACCAGGCAAAAGCCCCTGCCCTTGTATAGCTTTTGGTGCCTTCAGAAACAGTTGTCCTGCACAATGTGTTTAATAAAAGAATTGGAAATTGTTGCCAACATATAATAATTGGGAGATTTTAAATAAAAATCCAGATATCTGGCTTCGATTGGAGGGAAAAAGGATTCTGGTCATACCAGGCCTGTATATCCCTTAGCAACATAGACTGGAGCTAAGTCATGGCTCCTTTATGAGATCAGAGTTCTGCTTTTCCACTTTCCCTTCCATTCCCAACCGTTTCTGTTATCCTCACCAAGGCAGAGAATGTGTCATTATGTGTCAATTATCATTATGCTTGGCTGTTTTATGTGTATCAAATGGAAAACTATATCTTGTTTGCATGTTTCCATCAATAGTGCAGAGGAGATAAAAGCAGACATAAAACAGACATATAAACACACACATAGATCAATGGAACAGAATAGAGCCCAGAAATCAACCCATGCATATATGGTTAATTTATGACAAAGGACCCGAGACTATACAATGGGGAATGGAGAGTCTCTTAAAAAAATGATCATTTAGTTCTCCCAACACCACACGCAAAAGAATGAAACTGTACCTCTGTCTTACACCATTCACGAAAACTAACTTGAAATGGATTAAAGACTTAAATGTTAAGACTGTAAACCATAATACTCATAAAAACTGAGAAAAAAAGCTTCTTGACATGGGTCTTAGCAGTGATTTTTATGGTGTATGACACCAAAAGTATAAGAGCATAAGCAACAAAAGCAAAAACCAAGTGGGACTACATCAAATTAAAAGCTGTCTGCACAAAAAAACAACAAAATGAAAAGGCAACCTACTGAATGGGAGAAAATACTTGCAAACCATATGTCTGACAAGGGGTAATATCCAAAATATATAAAGAACTCATACAACTCAATGACTAAAGAAAACAATCTGATTTTAAAAGGAGCAGAGGAACTGAATAGAAACTTTTCCAAAGACAAACAGATGGCCAATAGGTACATGATAAGGTGTGCAACATCACTAATCATTGGGGAAATGCAAATCAAAATGCAATGAGAGGGCTTCCCTGGTGGCGCAGTGGTTGAGAGTCCGCCTGCCGATGCAGGGGACACGGGTTCGTGCCCCGGTCCGGGAGGATCCCACATGCTGCGGAGCAGCTGGGCCCGTGAGCCATGGCCGCTGAGCCTGCGCGTCCAGAGCCTCTGCTCCACAGTGGGAGAGGCCACAACGGTGAGAGGCCCGCGTACCGCAAAAAAAAACCAAACCAAACAAAAAACACAATGAGACATCACCTCATGCTGGTCTGAATGGCTCATCTCATAAAGACAAATAGCAAGTGTTGGCAAGGATGTGGAGAAAAGGGAACCCTCGTGCACTGTGGTGGGAATGTAAATTGGTCCAGCCACTGTGGAAAACAAAATATTAAAAAATAAAGCTATCATATCCAGCAATTCTACTTTTGGGTATTTATTCAAAGAAAACAAAAAACACTAGCTTAAAGAGTTATGTGCACTCCCATGTTCCAGGCAGTGTTATTAACAATAGCCAAGATAATTGTTTCCATATGTGACCATTCCACAGTGCAATATTCAGCCATAAAAAAGGAAATCTTGGCACTTGTCACAACATGGATGGATCTTGAGGGCATTAGGCTAAGTGAAATAAGTCAGAAAGACAAATCCTGTATGATCTCACTTATATGTTAAATGTAAAAACAAACACACAAAAAAATGAGCTCATAGATTGGTGGTTGCCAGGGGTGAGGGGCGGCGGTACGTGAAATGGGTGGTTGCCAGGGGCGAGGGGCTGCGGTACGTGAAATGGGTGAAGGAGGTCAAAAGGTACAAACTTCCAGGTTATAATGTACAGCATGGCAACTATAGTTAATAACATTGTATTGTGTATTCAGAAGTTGCTAAAAGTAGATCTTAAAAGTCCTCCTCACAAGAAAAAACTTTGTAACTGTGTAATGATGGATGTTAACAAGGTGTATGTGGTGATCATTTTGCACTATATACAAGTATTGATTCATGTTGTACACCTGAAACTTATATGTCAATTGTACCTCAAAAAAAAACACCAGTCCTGTTGGCAGGAATATGCACACCATGTAGACATTCAGGGACCTGGGCTTTGCCTATCTAGTGACTCTGTGATCCCCTAGACCCAGAGAGAGACCACCTCTGCCTAAGAGGGACCTAAGATATTCTCCCGGAAAAGAAGATTTTGAGTTATGTCTTAAAGATGAATTGGGCTGTGCAGTGGAGGTTAACACAACATTGTAAAGCAACCATACTCCAATAAAAATTAATTAAGAAAAAAAGTTGAATTGGGGCTTTTCAGGAAGTAAAGGACGTAGAAAGGGCTTTCTCGGAAGAGGGAATCATGATTTCTTAGGAAAAGAAGACTTGAAAGAGGGTGGTGTGTGGAGAGAGAGGGAAGGAGGAAGGAAGGAAGAGTCCTTGGTGGTTAGTTGTATGCAAAGTTCAGGGGGAAACAAAGAACGTAAAAGAACATTTTTTTTATCCTTGGACTTCCCTCGTTTGTCACCTGTCTGACCACTGGAGGCATTTGAGTTTGTGACCCATGATCTACAAGAATGGGAGTGGAGAGAGAAGAGCTCTTATCATGGGAATGAAGAGTATTTAGGAATTCTCTTGCTCCCTTTCTCATTGTTACTCTTGCCCTGCCAGTTCTCTTTGCTCAAGCCTGCCTGGGCTCCAAGATTCCTCACCTGTTACTCACCTTTGCTTCTACCCCTCCCCACTCCCACCCCAGAGCGGGAGTAGGAGAGCCACATGGTGGTTCAAGTCCAGTTTTAGTCTGTACGTTGTCCACTCACCTGTGAATAATGGAAGGTTGCAGATGTTGGGGAGGCTTGGTTAGTGATAGAAAACGGTTCCAGTGGACTAAAAGCATAAACAGTCATGTTGATCCCCTGCCTCGACAGGTCCAGGTTTAACCCACTTTCTCTAATTGTTCCAAGAATTGCTAGACACTAAAAAGGTCACCGTATCTGCATTTTAAAGAATGACTCCAAAATAGTGTGAGGGTAGATTAGATGGAGACAGACTACAGCTAACAGTTATTTACGTTGTCTTTTCAGGGAGCTTGTGTTCTGAATATGCTAAGGGATTATCTTGGTGCCGATGCATTTAAAAGTGGTATTGTAAAGTATCTGCAGAAGTATAGCTATAAAAACACAAAAAACGAGGACCTTTGGAATAGTATGGCAAGTGTGAGTATGTTTTTGTGTATCTCTGTGTTTGGGACTGACAGGCCTATTATCTTGTTTTGTTTTTGTTCTGCACCACATTAATCCCTCAGAAGAATCATGAGTGTTTTTTACAGAACTGAGTGATGTGTTTATTTTTGGTTTTTAGATTTGCCCTACAGATGGCACACAAGGAATGGATGGATTTTGTTCTAGAGGTGAACATTCATCTTCATCTTCAGTAAGTTTTTACAGCTGTACGTGTTCCCCCGAAGCACATTCTTTTACTCCGTTTTGTTTGAAGGATAGATAGCTCTGTGCTGAACTTTCCGAGGTCCTTGATGATATCAGTCTCTCTATAGATAAGGCTGCGTTTAAACTATACCAGACTGACAGCCCTCCACAATTTTTCTTAAATCTATCTACGCAAGGGAGGTATCCAGCCTTCTTTGGTACCACATCTCACTGATACTAACTTCTTCAGCTTCACTCTCTGTAAAGCAGTGGATTTATGACATGTTTCTGTGGTAGATCAGGACTGTATCCATCAGGCCATGTCAATCGTTTCCATAGCTGTTCATTTGTGAAAAAACATATGATGGCAGTGAGCATTCTTGAGCACTTACTATGTGTCAGGCACGTTTGAAGCACTTATGTGTATTATCTGCTTTACTCTTCACAATACGCCTATGAGCGAGTACTGTTATCCCTTTTTTTACAGATGGGAATATGAAATCCAAAGGCATATGATTAGTAAATTGTAGAGTGGGGATTTGAATTTAGATCTAACTCATGTCTTTAACTGCTAAACTGTAAAGAATTCATAACACTTGAATCACAAAACAGTCTGAGTCTCTGTTTATCTGGCCTTGTGGAGTATTTTCATAGGTAGCTGAGGGTGAGTCTGGAGATTCAACGGGATTTTATCCACCAGATTTTTATTTTCTTGGCTTTTTTGCTTTTAGAGAGAGCTTTATTCAGTAGTTACTAGATGTGTCCTGTAGTACATTTTATCCTTTTATTAGCTCTTAAATATTTTTTGAAAACTTTTAGTATCAAAGAATAGATCCTTGTTTGAGTTCACAGCCATCTGTTAAGTGTGAGCCATGTTGTTGTTATCGCTTGGGAAGTACAGACTCTTGATGGAACGTGTTTTCCCCACCTTGCTTGTCTGAGAGCCAGCATCGTTATGTAGGTGTTGAACACGTGGCCACTTTCTGTCCCTTCTCCCCCTGCATTCATTCACACTCCTGCTTTGTGCCTGGTGCCAAGCTAAGGTCTGCCCAGGAGAACCAGGTGTGGTACCTGTTCTCAAGACATCTATGTGTACAGCAAGAGAAAGAAAAGTAAACAGTCAGTGCTTTAATGGGCATGCAGTGGCTGGAGACAGCAGGGGAAGGGAGCAGGGGAAGGGACGCAGAAGAGCTTCACTGGTTGCAACGCTGTGAGCACAGGCTTGGGTTCTTTCTTTTCCTAGAGTTGGGTCCAAGTGAGTCACACATCTGCCTTTTTCTTATAAACCAGCACTGGCGACAGGAAGGCCTTGATGTGAAAACCATGATGAACACCTGGACGCTTCAGAAGGGCTTTCCCCTGATAACCATCACCGTGAGAGGGAGGAATGTACACATGAAGCAAGAGCACTACGTGAAAGGCCCGGACGACACCCCAGAAACTGGGTAACGTTCACAGAGAGAAACTCATTTTGTTGCCTAGGTAACATCTGTCTTGTAGGGTGAATGAACCCTTATTTTTAAAGTAGTGCCCTTAACTTTGTTGCTAAAATATTTTAATCAAATCTGTATATCCTAGGAATTTGACTTATATACCACCATCTATTCAAAAGGATGAAGATGATATATAATTATTTTAATATTCTCATGCTTTGTAGTTAGATATGTTGGTAATTTCCAGTTACTGGCTTGAAATCAACTCCAGTAGAAGCATTTGCCACTTAGTTACAATAGTGCCTGGGATTTGGGTTGGAGCTAAGGACATAAACATTTAGGTGATTTCTGGGAAATACAAGAGACTCCATTCTCTTCTTTGGAAGTCTTGAGTTAGATCCCAGAACCTGTTTGTCAGCTTAACACTACAGAGGACATCACTGGAAATGAGATCCTGCAACTGGACTGACCCTGGATGGACACTATTTAAAAATTTTTTTATTTTGAAATAATTTCAGACCTATGGAGAAAATCTAAGGAGAGAGCAAAGAATTCCATATATTCTTTGTGCAGATATGTGTTAACTCTACCACATTTGTTTTCTCTCTCTCCATATAACCTAAAATATCAAACAATTCCAAAAAATATGATCTTTATTTCTTTCTATATATATATGGCATATATATATATTTTTAAATGTTTGAGGGTAAGTTGGAGACATGATTTCCTCTTTACCCTGAAATACTTCACTGTTGTATTTCCTAAAAAACAAGAGAATTCACTTATATAAACACAGTACCTTTATCAAAATTATGAAGTGAACTTGATAAATACTATTATCAGATGTATCAACCTTATTCAACTTTCCTCAGTGGTCCTGATAATATCTTTATAGCAAAAGAAAGAAACCTGGTTCAGGATTTTATATAAGATCACATTGTATTACTGTTCACATCTCTTTAGTTCTTTTCTTCTGAAACAGTTCCTCCGTCTGTCTTTCTTGACCTTGATATTTTTGAAGAGTACAGGCTAGCTATTTTAGAGAATGTCCTTTAATTTGGGTTTTCTGCTGTTTCTTCACGATCAGATTCAGCTTATGCATCCTTGGCAGGAATTCCACAGAAGCGATGCTGTGTTCTTCTGAGTATATGATTTAGAAGGCACATGCTGTCAATTTCTGCCATTACTAGTGGTCACATTTTTAAAGTTAGGCACCCTGAGATCCCTTGAGGCAATCACTGCGAAGGCTGTCAGGGCTCACTTGAGCCCAAATTCCTAGCTCTATTCAAGGAGTCCAAGAAGAATGAATAGTGCCCCAGCTGGCCACTCCTACAAAGCTGGAAAATGGGCTGGGGATGTTTTGAGCTCTTTACAGTAGCAGTTTTGGGTACCATCCTTCTTTAAATGAGCCAGTGCCCGGAGCATGGTAGGAGATTTAAGAACTGCTTGTTGCAGTGAATCAGCAAATGAACAAATCCATCCTCCTTTCTTGCAGGTACCTGTGGCATGTCCCATTGACATTCATTACCAGCAGCTCAGACTCAGTCCAGAGATTTTTGCTGAAGACAAGAACAGGTAATTTGTTGTGGAACTAACTAGCTTTCTTCAAGAAGGAACTATGGAAATGTGTAGGACTTAGATAATAAGTTTTCTTTGCTATTTATCTTGGTTAAAACACAAAGGATCAGGTCAGCCTTTATCTTAAGCAGATCTGTGACTCAATATCTAGTGAAGAATATAGGTTTGAAAATACTGTCTGGTTGCCAAAAAGGAAGGACAGCATCTTGCCAGATAGAGATTAAAACAGTTGAGTTATGTAATGCTGAGGAGAAGAGATACTTGGGAAAATTTCCCCTTACTTTAACATTGCTGGGTTATATCATACATATGGCCTGAAACATGGCATTCTTCTCATAGGTCTATAAATCTCACAAAATTAGTGTCTAAAACTAGTATTGGCTTTTGTCTATTGGGATGCTGTTTTCTGGTTTCTAAAAGGAATGTGTTCAATAAGAAACTCATTTCAGTATTAAAATTGTTCAGTATTAAACTCGCCTTTAATTTCCTTGTCCAGTCTCTGATCAGAAAAGCTTTCTCCAGTCAAGAGAGAAAATGGAGCTATGATTTATTTTATTTGCTCTAGATGTGCTCGTCCTCCCAGAAGAGGTGGAATGGATCAAATTTAATGTTGGAATGAATGGCTATTACATAGTGCATTATGAGGATGATGGATGGGATTCTTTGACTGGCCTTTTAAAAGGAACACACACGGCCATCAGCAGCAGTGATCGGGCCGGTCTCATTAACAATGCTTTTCAGCTTGTCAGGTAATGCAAGCTCTTCACAGTGTTGGTTTGTTTCTGAAAGCTGCTGTTATCATTCAAATCCTTGATTTCTAAAGATGAAAGTGATTGCTAATAAGAAGTTGAAGGGTGTTTTCTCCTAAGGTCTTCTAACAATTCAAGGTTGCTTTTAGTCTTAGGATTAACCTCTTATCTGCGTCCGCTGAGTAAGGCGAAAGTAAGGAATCTGTATTTTAATCTTTATCGTTAATGACTCGGATCAGACTGAGGCAAAAGTGTAGAAAACCAGGAGACCAACACCCTGGAGAAGCCCCTTGCCTGGTCCCTAAAGCCTAGTCCTGCGGCTTTTTCTGGCCCTGCTGTAACAGATCAGGTTTCTCCCCGCTGGGTCTCTGACAATCCTGAAGCCTTCTTAGAAGACCAAGTGGCCCAGGCCCAAGTTGTCGGCATTACGTCTCTCAGACTAAAGGAGAGATATCCACACGCCCCACTCCCACCCCACCCAAACTGGATAGCTGAACTGCATAGCATCTTTATGGCTCATAAAATGTGGCCCAACCAGATGACCTTTGAGTGGGTGAGGATAGTGTTCACTCTTTGTTTTTGCCCCATAACATTGGCTTTTCAGGAAATGTTCCCCAAGCCTAAAACTCAACCTTCCTCAATATTTAGGTGGAACTGAAGTCTAAGGGGAATCACCCAAGTGGGAGGGAATACTGTAATTCTCAGCCCCACGTGTCTGTGCTCCAAATGTTGTGGGCTTCCTTTCCTGGGCCTCTTGAGGTGAATAAAGCGGGGAATAAAGATAGGGGTTGCTTATCTAGCCGTTTCTGCCCTGCCTAAATATTCCCTTCCATAGCGCATTACTGATGACATCATAGGGGATTTTGTGTTTATTTACATGAGTGTGCACCCTACCACTAAAATGTTTAGCACCAGCCCTCTGTAATGAAGAATTGATATCTATATTCAGTTTCTTTTTGAAATGGAGACGAGGATGTGTTGATTCCAGGGACTCATACTTGTGACTGAGTGGCAGTCTCAGGTGAGGCTTCCTGAAGGATCTTTGATCAAATTTTCCATTTTACTCTGCAAGTTCAGCACAGTCCGACGTTTCACAGAGGGAGAGATGCTGACCTGTTCCCGTCGCATCTTAACCACAACTCATAGAGCTAGTTAACACTAGCTCTATTATTTGAGAAAGTTCCTTCACAGTGTAAACATGCCACATGTTGTGATGTGTGTGACAGGAAAGATGTTAGTATAAAGGTCATTATTTATAAGGGAGCATTTATATCCGATTGAGTATTTTGCTGGAAGGTTGTTCAAATAACTTTTGAAACAAATAGTTGATTTCCTGGATTTTCTTTTAAACTGCTAACCCTGGTGTCTCTTGACCAGCATTGGAAAGCTATCCATTGAAAAAGCCTTGGATTTAACCTTGTACTTGAAACGTGAAACTGAAATCATGCCAGTGTTCCAAGGTTTGAATGAACTGATACCTATGTATAAGTTAATGGAGAAAAGAGATATGAATGAAGTGGAAACTCAGTTCAAGGTAAAAGCCTGAAATAAGTTGAGTAGTTTTTAGATAACTGGTTTGCTTTGGTGTAGGTGTGGAAAAGAGTTCTTATCATGGTGTATATTATATAATATATGTATCATATATATATCTTGATATATTTTAAAGAAAATCACAATTACCTTACCTCAGTATTTGGGTTGACCGATGAAGACTTTGGTTTTGTTTTGGCACTAAAAATAGGCATGGCACTGTTAGATTCTGTTCTTAAGTTTCACAGATTTGCCATTCCCTCATTTGGCTAATTGTTTATGTCACTTTACTTCTGTATTGTGGTAGTTGCTATTAAGATTTTCTGGGACTCGGGTACTTAAGCAAGAGGCACAAAATTGCTACTTTTGGTAAAATGTAATGACGTCTTGTATAATTTGCTCTCAAAATTTAGTCATATCAACTTGTCTCTTTTAGTTTGCTTTGAAAGTGGCAGTTCATCCTGATTTTAAGTAGATAAGGATATATTTATAAAAGATTGTTACACAAATACTGAAATCATTCATCATTTCTTGCTTTTGGCCCCTTTTGTAATTAAATATAAACAACTGCATGGTTTTGGAAATATGAATTGGACTAAGCTTTAAAAAATAATCCCCATCACCTGAGGGTGTATTGGATTATATAAACCATGAGATGACTTGGGTCGGGACTGGTGACATGTGTGGCTTTCCCACAGGCCTTTCTCATCTGGCTGCTGAGGGACCTCATTGATAAGCAGACTTGGACGGATGAGGGCTCCATCTCAGAGCGAATGCTGCGGAGTCAGCTGCTTCTCCTGGCCTGTGTGCGCAAGTACCAGCCCTGTGTGCAGAAGGCAGAAGGCTATTTCAGGCAGTGGCAGGAAGCCAATGGGAATCTGAGGTCTGTTTTTATCCAACAACCAGTTTGTTCAGATAAGGGGTATCTTTTATTTTTCCACCATCATTGCTAAATGTTGGGAGAGAAAACAAGTATAGACAAGTCTCCCCTGCTGTCCTTTTTGGGACAATAATTTTTTTTTTAGACTTATCTATGCATTGCTCAACTTTCTGTTTTAAGTTCCTGACAGGAGGCCCGGGGTTTGGTTAATGGGGAGGCGGGCGGCAGGGATTCAGTCCTTTTAGACTTGGGGCTTAAGTCCTATCCAGGAAATACTAAGCCAACAATATACATGCTTCTATTCATAAAAGTGCTTACAAACAGGTGGTCCTATTGGATTCCTGACTTTTGTTCATGGACTACATTTTAAGTCTAGTTTGAATTTCCTTCTTTTGACTTGAAAAGTGACCACCTATTGAGTCACTCAGCATCCTTAAAGTATGTTAGAAAGGTAGGTATTTATAGAAGTGGCATTTCACAATGTATTTTTGAGGAGGCTACTTAAAACCCACTTACAGTTACTTTCTCTTGCTTCTTTCCTAAAGTGTTACTGAAGGAAAGAGGTGATCTTTGTTTATATTTCCAGGCATGCTTCTCTGATTGTGGGTCCAGTTTATCGTTTCATAATCTGTCTCGTGCATGCAAATGCACTTCCGTCTTCTCAGCCTCTCCCTGGGTGTGTTCTTTTCCACAGGCTGCCCAGCGATGTGACCTTGGCAGTGTTTGCTGTAGGGGCCCAGCACCCAGAAGGATGGGATTTTCTTTATAGTAAATATCAATCGTCATTGTCCAGTACTGAGAAAAACCAAATTGAATTTGCTCTCTGTATTACCCACAATAAAGAAAAGCTTCAGTGGTAAGTAATTCATTCATGTTCAGGTAGCCAAGAGGAATTAAATTAGATCAGATCCTTCTGGCATCTGTTTTTGTCCTCTTGGCCAGGAACTACGTTTCCTGCTGGGAACATTTATGCAAGAGGGCACACATCTAATGTGTACGGTAAATAATTAGCAGTGGGTGTCAGGAAAAATATTTAAAGGAGTATGTATTTGCGTATCTTTAAAATAACACATTTAGAAATTTACACCAGATATACCTATCTTAGCTACATTTGTGAGCAAATGAGAGAATATATGAGAATCGGTGTTGTAAACACTGTACAAATGTTAGTTTTTATTATTATGTAGCTATAGGGAGTTTCTCAGGGCTCTGGTAACCTATTTCTCTTTTGTGTCTTTATTATTGGCAGAACGGCTTTTTTCTTTCCCAAATTATTTTATTAAAGTTGTTTGGAACTTTTTCAGGGCCTCTTTGTTGCTAACACTTCTTGTCTTAATCATTCTAGGCTACTAGATCAAAGTTTTAAGGGAGATACAATAAAAACTCAAGAGTTTCCAGATATTCTTAGAACTATCGGCAGAAACCCAGTGGGATATCCACTGGCCTGGCAGTTTCTGAGGGAAAATTGGAATAAACTTGTACAAAAGTAAGTAGTGCCAAAAATTGTGTTGTGACTGGCAAAAATTCCTTAATCTGGCTGTTTTAGCTACGTTTGTAAAATAACAGTGATTATCTAAAGGGATTCTTTTGACTGAAGATAGGAAGTAGAGGTACTTAAAATATCCTTAGAAAATGTGAAACTCTAATTCAGTGCTAACTAATGGATCTGGATGGTCAAGTTTTTCATTCCATCTGGAATAATCTCTTCCTGCACCCCATGACCTACCAGAAGCCGCCTGCACAGTTCAGGCAAGTCTTCTGTTTAGTACCTCCACTTGTTGCATCTGCCCAAACTCTTGTAGCACTTCTGTCGTTTTCTTTTGGGTACTTAATCTTTTATTCAGTGGCTGGTGTGTTGATTTTTTTACAACTAGATCTTAGCCCATTGGAGCAAAGGATCACGTCTTATCTCTTTCACGCCTAACCAGTTTTTAGTTAATTGCTATCACATATATGAGGCACTTAAAAATACGTGTCGAATGAACAAACACTTCACAATACATTTTGACAGTTTCTATTTCTAGGTTTGAACTTGGCTCAAGTTCCATAGCCTACATGGTGATGGGAACAACAAATCAATTCTCGACAAGAGCACGGCTTGAAGAGGTAAAAAATAAATAAATAAAAAGCTTTCTTTTTGAACTTCAGTGACAATTATCTAATAAATTATCTAATAAATATGAGGTAGGCAAAATACTTTAAGGGCCTGATGAGTTAGAAGTGGATTTTGTCACTTGGTAAACGTTCTTTTCGGATGTGTGTTTTGTTTAGTGTGGTGTTTTTGACATGAGCAAAAATCAGTTACAAATAAACCATTGAAAACTGTGCCTCTTCCCAAACACAGTTAGAAGTTTTAGCCCTGCCATTAAAAATTTTAGGGCTTAAAAATTACTTTAGACATGTAATCCCTGTTTAGGATGTTAAAAGTGATTATTGGAGGTTTAAGTGACTGAAGTGATCCTCTAGTTATGTTGAAAGAGGCAGGTCTGGAAGCTAGGTTCTCCGTTATTCAAGCTCATGATTTCCTGTTACTTACTTATGAACCATCTACTTTCAGAAAGAATTCTAGGCAACTTTTAAGGTCCATATATAAAATAATGCTAAAATAAAGAACAAAAAGCTGCATAATGTTCAGAAAGAGGAAATTGGTATGAGGGATTTACACTGAGGATAATTTAATTTATTGCAGTTGTACCCTAAGTTTATCATAGCTTCCTAGCAGCCAAAGAAAGATGAGAAAACAGTATGAGTTATTGTCAGGTAAGAGAGAACCATGGAACATACAACTTTTCCACAAAAGCAGACTTTTCTCTCAGTCTTAAACTTTTGAGGAGTTTGCTGTATGGGTCATTTTGTTGTGGTGGCTTTTCTATAATAATATTCTCTATAGTAAAGCTGTAGAACAAATTTTCCATGGTTTTAAAAATGGTGCAATTAGATAAAAGCTGAGAACCTAATATTAACTTTTTAAGGAGTGGTTCCATTGTGTAGTCTGGTTACACCATGATCTAGCTCGATGGAGAGTGCTTTGAAAATGGGAAAGAAATGTCACAACCCTTTTCTCCAACTTTTCAGTAGCCTCACCCAGGCTTGTAAAATTAACTTGCACATAATAATTCAAGCTTGAATTCTAGTGAAGTCTACAGCAGAGATATTCTGTGTGATGACAGCAGAGCCAGCTATGGGCTGGGACCAGATAGACCAGGTCTGTAGCAACAAAACGTTTCATTCATTATCTTGTTCATTCATTAATTTTCTCATGAATTCATTCGAGACATATTACATTCTCACTCTACAGCAGGTGTGGTTTTAGGTTCCAGGTCTACAATGATGAACAGGATAGACAAAGCCCCTGCCCTCATAGAGCCTAAATTTTACTGGGGGAACCAGACAGTTACAGACAGGTCAACTCATGTCAGGTAGTTACATGCTCTGAAGATGAATAAGGCAAGGGAAGGAGAGCGAGTGACTGGGTAAGGGAATGGTGCTGTGTTCTGTGGGATGACTCGCGGACCTTTGAGGAGATGTTGAAGGAAATGCCGATACCTAGGCGGAGAGTGCTGTGTGCAGAGGAAGCATCAGGTGCAGAAACCCTGTGGCAGGACATGTAAATGAAAGAGCCTGACATTTACAATGCAGGAGTCATCCTGAGCCCTTGCTTCCCGTCACATCGAGTTCATCCCAAGTCCTGTTGGCTCTGCTTCCGGCATCTACACCCCATCTGTGCACTTCTCTGCTCTTACCCCGGCCGAGCCTTTCTCACCTCTTGTGTGGCCAATGGTGACAGCCTCCTAACTGGCCTCCCTCCTGCCACTTTGCCAATACCGCACCATCTTGCAACTTTAAAACGGAAAACCAACCCACGACTGACCCTTTCTTGAAACCCTGCCTGTCACTCTTGAAGTCTCAAACCTCTCCTTCCCATGTGGATGAGAGGGTCATTACCTGGCTCCTGCCTGCCTCTCCAGCCCTTTCTCACATGCTCCTGTGTTCACTGTCTCACCCACTCCAGCCCCTCAGCCTGCTGCTGGGCCACCAGGTGTTTCTCCTGCGCGAGGCCTCTGCGCTTTCTTCTCCTTCTGCCTGGCTTGCTCTTTCCCCAGCTCTAGACTGGAAGGGTTCATTTTATTCTTTAGAGGCCCCAGCTCAAATGCCACCTTCCCAGACCACTCTGTCGAAAGCAGGCCACCCCCTCCCCAGTTGCTTTCATAGCCCCGGTTTATTTTCTCCACAGCAGCATAGAGTCAGCATAGTTCATTGCTTGTCTCCCCAGGCAGACTGTAAGCTTCATGAGGGTAGCGTGCTTGCCTGATTCATTGCCTCATCCTCAGTGTCTCGCACAGTAATCAAGCCGGAGAAACGAATAAGTACCAGAGTAAATATTCATGAAGAAATGGATGAGGGGGAGTCCCTGGTACCTGCTGGGCTTTAGGTTCTGCACTTCACCCACATTACACGACGACATCCTCACCAACGCTCTGCAGTGTCACAAATGAGGAATCCTAGTCCCAGAGAAGTTAATCATTTACTCACCAACTAGTAGCATAAATCTGGTTTTCTCCCCATATGCACAGAAAATATTCTCAAGGAGGCAGGTTTGAATCAAATACGAACTCAGTTGAGATGCTGAATTTCCCAAGGCAGATGAAGATGGGAGTGATAAATTCAGGTCAGGAGAAGTAGAAGGGCAGGCAGGGGTTAACAGCTGGCTTTGTTAGAGCTCTTGCAGGCTTGTTTTTCAGTACTATCATGGTAGGCTCCTTCAGGATTAATTAATTAATTTGACCAATTAGTAAAAATATTGATGTGGTTTGACTGAATAGTGCCCAGAGTGATTTTTTTTTTCAAGTATAGTTGATTTACAATGTTGTGTTCATTTCTGCTCTATAGGCAAAGTGACTCAGCCATACACATATTCTTTTTCATATTGTTTTCCATTATGGTTTATCACAGGATATTGCCCAGAGTTACTTCTTAAACTTCCTATTAATTAATCTTGAGTTCTGAGAGACAAAACAGTAGATTGAGCTACAGTTTAAGGCAGGACAGTGAAGCGGGTTAAGTGTTTTCTAGGTTGCTATAGCAGGAGGGCATGCCTTCAGCTCACAGAAAAGTTCTACTGAGATTTAATTTTAAAACAACCCCGAACCATTTAAAATTGGAATTTGATCTTTCAAAAAGCCTATTCTTACCCCCCTCCTTTTCCCAAACTTACGATGTTATGACATGGATCTTTAAGGAATTAACTGTCTGGAATCCATGCTGAATAAATAATGTATCTTGGCTTAGACTTTCTTCCTGTCTACGAAATCAAAAATTGATGGATTAATGTGAAGTGTATGGGAAAAGTTTAAGAACACTTGAAGGTGAGACGGAGTAGCACAATGGTCAAGGCTGTTGCAAAGCCAACCTATTCCTCATGTGAGCTTAAAGGGGATAAAGTACCCATCGGTGAAACAATAGCAAAGATATTTTTGAGGAGATAGTCAAGTGATTCTTGTCTCTTTAAAACCACGGGGAACTTTGGGTGGATTTTATCTTGAAGGAACAATACATCAATTGTGGATCAGGATAAAAAAAATTGGCAAGGTTTGGGGTTATTACCACCATAACTTGCTAAGAACCCCATTCCCCAGTGTTTCTATCATAACAGACAAGGCCAGGCCCATGGAGGAAAACTGCACGTATGTGGCTGAAACTGTTTTGCTTGGCAGAGAAGATATTCTGCACATTCTGCTTTTTCAGCTATGTTTAAAAAAGTTAAGTTTGCATCTGTGCGTCTATAACAGAATACACATTAGATACATGCGATTAAAACTTAATTATGAAATGGTAAACAGTGAAGTCTTTTAGAATCTGGCAACTGTGAATAAATAAAAAAGCTGCAGAGAAAAAACTCAAAACTTGACATCATGAGGCATGAGCTCATTTCATAGAGCTTAAGTTTATGTACATAATCGTAATCAGACACCTGGCCCTGTTTTCTATGTAGAATTTTGACAAATGCTGGAAATTTGGCTTCAGTTTTCTTTTAACTAGCCTGAACTTTGTGTAACTTAATAAAACAAAGTTTTAAAAACCCAATTTTTCCTCACAAGGTAAAAGAATTCTTCAGCTCTTTGAAGGAAAATGGGTCTCAGCTCCGTTGTGTCCAGCAAACAATTGAAACCATTGAGGAGAACATACTTTGGATGGATAAGAATTTTGATAAAATCAGAGTGTGGCTACAAAATGAAAAGCTTGAACTGCTGTAACAATCCGTTCCTTGTTGGTTCCTGTGATGTGTAATCTCCAAAATTTTATTGAATGTGAATATTTTCAAAATAGAGATGGTTGTCTCGGCACCCAGTGAAGATATTTCCTGCTCCTTCAACTCCTTATTCATTCGTCCCTTCTTATGAAGACTGGCTGTTAACTTTTTCATCAGGGGGTTATTGCCACCACGTGTTCCATTATAGGTGTTACCCCCAAATGTAAACCCAAGTGGTGGGTTCCCTACTGTGGAGAAGTGAAGTACCTTATTCTTCTATTTTATATTTTATACTTAAGCCCTGTGGTCTCCAAACCCCTGGTCCCCACACCCTGCTCCCCATGCGCTTGTCATTCATAAGCTGTTGTGTCAGTCTCCTGGTAAGACTCTGAACAGTAGTGACTACTGAACCATGAACCCCTGGGGCAGTGATTGAGCCAGAAGGGCCCTGATCTGCTTTCCACCTTTCTCCCCCTTGCTGCGTGCCCAGGGGCTGGCTTGTTGGAGGGCCACATCATGAGACTTCCCTGTCCTCTGGCTTTTGGTTGACCTCCCAGGAGGGCAGATAAGAGCTGGGGTTGGGGAAAGAGCAGGTGATGGTGTTTATTCCCCCGGTTCCCTTGCAGGTTGCCTCAGGCTGGCCTCCACCGAAGGTCTCAGCTCTAGGGAGGTGGCCCTCTTTCCCACAAGCCTTCTCCATCTGTGTGTTCTAGTAAGTGCTTCCTCCTCTCATCCCTTCAGGGTGAAGGGTGAAGTGGGAGCCTGGCTTAATTAGTCCTGGCTGGACTTGTGGTTTCCATACATCCTGCTCACATTTTTGTTTAAAAAACAACAAAAAAACAAACAAAAAACTCCACAAAGACCTTTTATAGAACCCTCCTCAGATAATCCTAATTTGAGTGTGCCATCTGTTTCCTCAGGACCCCGAATAATAGTGTCTCTTCTGAAAAAGCCGAGTGCGTTCAAGGTCTAGAAGAGAAACCTTTCATTTAAGTTGAACCTCAGAGCTTTTGATCCTTAGGTAGGTGATGCTTCCTCTCCTTGTTCCTTATTTGGCCTAGTTTATAATCTCTAAATAAGTTGTTATTGGCACTTATTGCCAGTAAGGCATTGCAGTCTCTAGTAAATGATAAGGTATTGTGAAATGGAAAATACTTGCTTATATTAGCCTAAGTGAAGACAGTGTGTTGTATTGGAATTGAAGTATTTTATGAGTTTTCTTTATTAATATATTGCAAAATTTATGATAAAGGAATATGATATGAAAAATGTCAATGTGTTTTTCTAATACAGTATGGAATAGAGGATCTTTTCTGGACGTAAATGTGTTTTGCAATTCCATTTTCATACAGATTGCATGGCTTAATGGCTTGAGAACTAAAACCAGAAATCACTGGTAATTTCCATCCCCAGGTGTTTTTCTTCTAAAAAAACATACAAAGCCAAGATTTTAATGTAAAATATTTTTCTTTAATTGCATCTTATATCCTGATTAATGAAACATGGAAATAGTGGTTTTCAGTTTTGGTCACCTGAGGAACCTATTTTCATTTGCTTTTAGAGAAGTCCATTTTCTAAAGAGACACAATATTGCCACACAATGTGCAAAACCCTTTTTGGTAATAAAAAATTGTTATTTACCTCTAAGCAAATATTTGCAGTTATTTACTCCAAATTAGATGGGTAAAAAGGACTGATTTAGATCCTGTAGCTTACTCAACTCATCATTAATTACTAGCAAACACCCAAGTATTGAAGATGTTTCAATAAACAAAAAGGCATATTCTGAGTACCTTAAATATATGTTTACTTTAACAGGTATTTACTAAATGTCTGGATTTTGGTATGTAATTTAAAAATACTTATATGTATGCATGTAAATGAGTAATACTGCAGCCATATCTTTGCAAACACATCTGTCAATGTCAAAGGTTTCACTTTCTTTTTTTTTTTTTTAAACAAAACCACTTTGTACTACCTATAGACACATAGTTGAAATCCCTCAGGAAAAGTTTATTTTCTTGTTAGTGCCTTGAAAAGGTCTGTTTAGTCACCATAATCCTGGCTTATATTTCCCAGATTTAGACTAATAATGCCTGCATCTCTGATGGGATGGAGACATAGCATTTGAAGTGGATGCAGTTTGAAATCTCAGAGGTATATGCATGATTTTTGAAGACAATTTTTAGATCGTATTAACAAAATTGGATGCCCATTATAAGTAGTATTGTTGCTTGCCTCCCACCCCATTAGACAGTATTGGTAATATTACTTATTTTTAGTGAAGTTGCTAAATCCTAATAAATAGTTTAAACAGATGCTGAGGAAGGCTGTGCTCTCTGAAAACAAGGAATTCCAAATCAGTTTTATGATGTGTACCTGATATTTTTTCCTGCATTCACTATCAGGAAATAAAGATGGGATTTGATAAATATTTAATTTCATCAATGACACCGGTGCTGTATTCATAAACCGTTCAGAGAGGTATGAGAAACCATTCCAAGTTGTGGGATATCAGACACTAGTTCTTAAATTGCTGTGGGGGAAAAGCAGATTTTTAAATTTTTATAAAGATCTTTTCCTTTATTTTTAAGCAGAAGTTTGTTTTTGTTTTTGGTAAACCCAACTTCCATTAAGCTACATGCTGTACAGTGCAAGACTAATGTGGCAATGGCTCTAAGCAAACAAATGCTGCTCAGGTTTTATAGAGAGAGGCTGGAAAGCCCAGCTTAATGCAGTAAACCAGCAGAGTTCAAACCATATGAGTATTCTAAGAATTAGATTTTGTTATTCTTGGAACTTGCTATGCAGGGACACAGAGTCTGTGTTTTGCTCTTCTGACTCAAGTCTCAGTAGGCCTGTGCTGACGTCCTAACCTCTGGCAAAGAAGAGTTCAGCCTGAAAAGGGGCGCAGTGCTTCCTCGTCTGTCCAGGTTATCTATTGTTAGCAGCTCAAGAGGAGACATGTGCCCAATGTACCATATTTTATGTTTGCCTTATAAACATGAACCCAAAGAAACATCAAATACAGTTCAAAAGCCCAAGAGGAAAGGGGTAATGAGAAATCAGAACACTGAAGAATATGTAAAGCATTGTCTTCCAAATGCTAACAACAAAAAAAATTAAGTGCAAATTGAAAATACTAATGAGATTTACAGGCACTGAGGGTAGAAGGTGCAAAAGTTTGCAAAGGTTTTTCCTTTTGTGTGTGTTGCTTTAAGAAGCTATCAAATATATCTCTTAGAAATATAAAGTTCCTTTCTCTCCCAACTGAAGACAATTTTTAAAAATTCAAAGTTTATCAGTACTCAGTAGAATAACACAGGTGAACCAGACAAATTTAGTTTCTTTTCAGGAAAAGAGTAACAAACAATGTTTAGGATGTCAAAAGACTCAACAAATACTGCTGTCTAGAAGCCACTCAGAAAATTTTTCTGCTGTCAAAGGCTTTTGTTCTTCAGAAGTCGCCATCTACCAGCTGAAGATTTTATATGCGGATACCTTGAAAGATTCAAAGAAGAAAATCCAGTGAACCATCTGATATGTAATTTTCTTATTACAGGCATAATAAATTTAAGGAGGAATTTACTAAAGTTGATATGAGAGTCAAAAATTAAAAGAAATTTTTTTTTATAATTTTGGGGAAAATCTTTGGAGCAGTTCTAATCAGTATACCTCCCTCTTTGTAGGAAATAAAAGTGGATTCATGGTGAGAGAGCCTAACCCAATTTAACCTACATTTTCATTTCTTTTAGGTTTTTGGCAGCAAGTGGTTATAAGCTTTTATGGTTTAGAATAAGACCTCTTCTCTCTGAAGTTAATAAGGGCCCAGCTCTCAAGACAGATCTCACAGACTCCCTCGTCCATACCAGCTCTTTAGTTACCATACAGTAGAATCAAACACAGAGCTTTACTTTCTCAAACTAAGATGAACAGAAGTTGTCAATCTTTTCCTTTGCCCTATTCTCAAGACTCTAATTACCATCAGACCCTAGGGGGGTACTTCTCCTCACTCCACAATGTGTTTGTATTTTGGGTAATATCTATATCATAAGGCCATTTCACTGTAGGATGTAACATGCCAATTCTGCTCTGCCCCAGTAACCTGCAGTCATGGGCATTTGGGTTTCAGAGTCAACTAGACTTAGATAGTCATTTTCTTTAAAAGCCTGGCCTAATATCTTAAAGAGCTCTTAATTATAAGATTAATGTTTTTAAACATTCTGGTAGCACCATTTATTACTTTACAGGGAATTACTCTATAGCGTTTGCAATGTGTATTTCATGCCAATAGCATAAAGAGAACATGAAATACTCAAGAAGGGGACTTAGTTTCTCTCACCTATAACACATAGGCTGGTAGAAGGTACAATTGTCTTCATTTACAACAAACACCAAACTTACCAAATAGTGTGAACTTTAACTTGTACTTTTTCCATCAGCTTTTTGCTTGGAAGTTTCCTCCTTTGCCTAGAAGGACAAGCGAAAACCATCAGTGAGCTCTTTATTTTCTGGATTAAGTACCAAAAACTGATCAACCGGAAGAGGCTTATGAGGAAATAGGCTTTTCAGAATTAAAAGGGCAAAAATGGCAGTCAGCAGGGGAAAATAAGATGGTCCTTTTAAAGTATCTCATTTAGTCCATACACTGAATTCTTCCCCTTAAAGTTTATAAACTAAAAATAACCTTAAATGATTCTAAATTTTTTACTCTAGACTTTGTGGGTTTTTTTGTTTCTGAAAGCCAGCATAATTGAAGAAAAAAAAAATACATAGGTGTTCATGGATGGTATCCATTCGTTCCACAGTGATCCATCCTTCTCTTATACTTGGGGGCTTACCCGGCAGCTAATCCACTCAGCATATAGGGTTACTGTGCTTTCTATTTTTTGAGTATGTACTTTGTATTAAATAATAAATATTTAATCAGAGATATAATGGCATGAGCAACTAACTATCAATCTGGTTTCTTGTATCTTTCATGGATTTCACTTTTTTTGAGGTATAATTGACATATTAGTTTCAGGTGTATAACATAAACATTCCATATTTATAAATATTGTGGAATAACACAATAAATCTAGTTAAAATCCATCACCATACATAGTTACAAAATTTTTGTGATGAGAACTTTAAAGATCTACTCTCTTAGCAACTTTCAAATATGCAATACAGTATTTATTGACTGTCATTACTATGCTTTACATAACAGTCCCGTGACTTAAATATTTTAAGTTTGTACCTTTTGACTACCTTGACCAATTTCACCTACTCCCCC